GATTTCTATGTATTCCAACTGGTGAGGTCATGCGTATAGTTGTCTTTTATGCTCTCTAAAGAAGGTATTTGAAATGAACAAATCATTGATTTTGCAGAATTTTATCATATGTTCTCCAGCATCATTTCTATCACCAAGGCCATATTTTCCAACTACTGATCCTTCCTCTTTGCTCCCAACTTTACATTCCAATAACCAGTAACAATCAATACATCTTGATTGCATGTTTGGTCAATTTCAGATTGAAGAAGTTGGTAGAATTTTCTATTTCATCCTCACTGGCTTTAGAGGTTTGTGTGTAAATTTAAATAATAGTGGTATTAATTGGGCTTCCCAGTAGGCACATGGATATTATCCTATCACAGACAGTGTTGTACCTCATGACTGATCTGGATATGTTCTTTTTAATAATGACTGGAACACCATTCCTCTTCAAGTTGTCATTTCAGCATAGTAAACCATGTGATCATCAGGTTCAAAATGGCCAATACCAGTCCATTTCAGCTCAAGAAGACCTAAGATATCAATGTTTATGCATTTCATTTCATTTTTGACAACTCCCAATTTTCCCAGATTCGATAAAGGCACGAAATGACTGGCTTACAAGGTTTCAAGAGGGAGTTTAGGTAAAGAGTGTGGGGGTAGAAAGAGTCCCCACTGAATAGTTTTCATCTTGTCTAGATGGGTCTTGTGAAAAGAGATGGGGATAAGATTCGTAGATTCAATAGTGAATAATTGTTATCATGACTAATTGTGACTATCACAATTGTAAAGATAGAAGTTTTGTAACAAAAACAAGGGAGTGGTTAATCTTCCAGTCCAAAAACAGAGGAACCTAGGACCTTCAAAGGAGAAGGACACAAGTGGAATGTGGGACCTTATCCACAGAAGCATCGAAGACATAGATAGAGATGGGGTCATGGAGACGGGGAGCGGCTGAGGACTCTAGATTCATGGGAAGAGAGGGACTAAGAGCTGGTAGCCAGGAGGCAGACTTGCATAATATGCCCTATAGAGGTGTAAATTATTATATATGACTGAGTGGAGTTTTTTTGTTTTGTTTTGTTTTTTGTTTTCAAATCTAAAGTGAATACAGAGAAATACTATTAACTGATGGTACAAGGAGAGGATTATAATTATTGTAATGAAACAAAGTATATGATTTGTTGAATGTAAAACTGATGATCTGCTCTGTATACTTTCACTCAATCCACAATAAAAACCTTAAAAAAACAAAACAAAACTGAGAAAGAGAGGAAAGAAAAAGAAACTGAAAGACTGCATGTGTGTGTGTGTGAGTTTAGTGTATAAATATATGTGTGTGGTAAAAGAAAGAGAATGAGGGAAAATATGAGAATAATAGAAAGAAAAAGTGATAGTAAATCAAACTTTTTGATTAAATTTAACAATTAATTTAATTCAAGATAAAGTCTAAATAGTGATTGTCCCTGGGTTGGTGTATTATTTTATTAATTTGACTATATTAATTCATCAATTTAATATTATATAACACAGACTGGTGTATATATACAAAAAAAAAAAAAAAAAAGCAAAATAAACACTTTAAACTCTTGTGTCTACAGCATACATTTTGGCAGTCTCTGTCCGAGGGGCTATGTATGATTTGGCCATGGAAACAGCTGCAGTTGAATAAGTCTTCCTCGTGGAGTAAGGGTAGTTCCTCTTAGGTCCAACATCTGTTTGAAAAACATGGACACAGAGATACAAAAATAAGTATTGCTCAGTAAGAATATGTCCTGGTGGCAAAGTGGTTAAGCGCTCAACTGCTTACCTAAAGGTCAGCAATTTAATTTTAACTGTCACTCTGTGGAAGAAATAGGAGCCTGTCTGCTCCCATACAGATTACAGCCTTGAAAACCCTGTGAAGTGGTTTTACTCTGTCTTGTAGAGTCGCTATGAATGATAATACACTCCACACCTATGAATATTGCTTAATAAGAAGGAAGTAGAGATAGGGGAAAAAGGAATAAGGCCATTTTATATGTTCATTCAAAAAAGGGGGGAAAGGGTAAAAATATTTTAAGTGGGAATCATCTGAAATGAACCCAGGATTTTCATCCTAAAAGTTACTTTTAATTTTTAAATTTAGCCAAAATTTTCATTTTTTTTTTTATGAAGATACAGATTTACTTAGTTTTTTAAACTGATATTTATTTTCAGAAACCCAGTGGTGGTGGTTATGTGCTGTGGAGTTGGTTGTGACTCATAGTGACACTGTACAAGGCTGTACATCTTTATGGGAGCAGAAAGCCTCATGCAGAACTGCTGGTAGTTATAAACTGCTGACTTTGAGGTTAGTAGCCCATACTAACCACCAGACCTAACCACCAGAGCTCCTTTAGAAATCCAATAGTAATACATTAAACTTTTAGGCAACTACTTGGCTTTATTATCAGCCTATTTTTTTTTGCTAAGTTCCAAGTGTAAAATGAGCAAATTGGATGAAGTAGATATATAAGACTACAATGCATCTAATGAATTATATATTAGAATATCCAACAGACTTTAACTGTAAATTGTTCCCCAACAAATATACCACTAATTGAATAACTGCAAATTTTCATGGTAATTTTTTTTTAATGTTTTATTGTGAAGTATGTGATAGTTTATGTGGGAGAACGTTTGCTTTATATTCATCCTATCCTATATCGTTTCCTTGTTATGGTTACAATTCCCTCCATGCATCATC